AACGATGCTATAAAAGAATCCCTATCTTTTATTAGAATAAAGTACATTTCGTTGACACACTTTCAAGACGAACCTATTTTTGGGATACCGAAGTCCCATGTGGATCAGAAAATAGCCACAATGTAGTACAACTGAACCCTGATGAAGATAAATATTACCTTCTTACCCCATATCCCACATTAATGCAATCACTCAAAAAATTTTCACCTGAAAGCATTAGAGCTATTACTCGAAACCCAAATATTGACCTACAATCAATTGGAATATATTTAAAATCCGATATCCAACAACACATTAGAACACAACAATTCCAAGAATTATTAACAAAAATGGACACTATACAAAGACAATCAATTGACCAAAACTTACGCAAACTTGCCGAAACCGCATGATTTGCAGATATTTATACACAAGACTATAGCGGATATTTTAAAGACATAAAAGATTATATATATTTAAACGGTGAAAAATACCGACCACAAGATATCTCACCTATAAATATTTTTAGCTTTGTTACACTCAAAAATGAAATTCTTGATTTTCTAGGATGGCCCTATTACATCTTAGAAAAATTAACTATTTTATACGCAATGTTTAACTTTATAGGATTTCTTTTTTCACTTTTAAAAGGAATCTATAATACATGCGCTATACACACACAAGTAAATAGACAAGCAAGTGTAGCACGCATACTATTTGCAGGATTTTTTGGAATTTTTTCATCATCAATAAACAAAATTCTTTTAGACGCACAAATAAAAGAATACAACACAAAAATAGCAACAAGACAGAACACATATGACGAAGAACGCAACAATGTAGAAATAACGCCTACAGCACCACAGTTACCACCCCTACCACATAACCATCCATTATCCCTAGTCCCACGAAATTTTCGAAACTTAGCAATAACACATAATCCAAATTCTAGACCAACCATATCACAAAGCCCCATTCAACATATAATGACACATCATTCACAAGATGAAAATACATATGAACAAATTATCGAACAACCCCATACCACCGCTTTTCAATCTCAAAATAATAATTTTTTTAGCCCACGATGAGCCGACAACTTGGATCCCTACACCGCTCAAGTTCCCATCCAACCAACCTCAACACTCCAATTACAATAATTCCACTTTTTGCTTTCCCGCCACCCAATTTCCCAACCAATAATGTAACATCAGGCATGAATTCAGACACTAATTCAAATATTTTAGTTTTATACTCCATTTCACAACTCAATAACCCTAATATTAAACCCCTGATGAATTTGCAGACTCTGAACCATCTCCATCCAATAATTTTCCAACCAACTCCTCAGTTTTTTCAAAACCCCCTTTTCATCCAATCCCACCAAATCACCCACTCCCATCCATTTCTACACCCTCTTATGCTTCACAAGTCACCCCAACCTACTCTTCATTTCATTCAGACCGATCATCCAATTCTCCAGATACTCCCCAAATCTCCCAAGAATTAGATAATTTTATCACCCTACAACAACAACCCTTCCACCTTGAAAACCCCACTATAAATCAGATTTCATCCACAATAGAATCATCAAACCCACCTACCCCTACACCCTCTTCAGCCTATACCGCATCATTAGCACCATCATCCACATCCACCGAATCATCAAATAGCACTAATAGAGCTTATCGCACTTTCAAAAGAAAATTCCCAAACCATCCATTTCCAACAAAACCAGGAACAGCCCGTGAATATATTAATCATCCAAATCACACTAACACGAAAGATTTTTTAGCAATCACCCTACCTTCATTTCCACAATATACCTTGAACACCCCTAACGACACTAACGACACACGTAGTTTTGTAGATGAACAAGTTTTAATGCCTACACTTCATTGGACATCATATTATCATTTTACTAACCCCCTTTGCCTACCTTTATCTAATACTCACATCGATATAGAAAGAAATCAAGATATGCTATATCGACTCACCACACCATTAACACATAGACAATTTACTTATATAGGATATAAGAAGTCACTAAAAATATACACTGCACCCCGAGCTAACGAATATACGCTAGAATATTACGATCACAACATCATCCGAGCTAACCAAGACCAATTTTTAGATGATGATCGTTTCGCTAACCCACAAATCACAGAAAAATTCTTCATAAAAACACCATATGTATTTACACTCAATATATTTGATCGCAAATTCGACCACGTCATTTCTGAAGCACTAACCGACACGCAAGCTTATGAAAGTTTTAAAGAAAAATTTCAATCATTTTCACTAACCTTCAATTTCCTTGCACCACAAGAACGCAATTTGCACTGCTCACACGACATTATGTTACGTACTAAACAAACCCACACATATACATATTATCGCTTCATACAAAATCACTTTGACCTACACACTCCATCAAGACAACCACACCACCGTTTTCAATTTATTAACTCTAAATACACATCACCATTTTTTCTTAACTTCACATATTGCATCAAAGATACTAACCTTCACGGTATTCTTCGCAATTATGATCCCATAACCCAAATGTATATTTTTTGTCCCATCACAAAGACCTTCAACGCAGAAGAATCCAGACCCTTCCTTATCCCACATGAATTTGTCCAACCTATAGAAATCCCGATATTAGAATTCATCCACAACACTAAATACAATCACAAATTATATAATCTCATCCAAAACACACCTTATGAGTTTGCAGTTGGCACTGAAGAACTAAAAACTATTAAAGCACTTCAATTGCTTTGGCCACTGCTTCAAACTAAAAACATCATTTGCATACTAGCAAAATTACTAACAAATTCCGACATAATCCACGACATCTTCCCCCACGGTTTTTTCCCCGACGACTAAAAGGTAAGTATAAATTCTATATATTCTTCACTAATAAATTCAAATTAAACACTAACCATTCTTTATCCATGTCTCATTTAGATTTTTAGTCTTCATCCCACGATCACCTACAAATCACACAAAAGAAAAATAAAAAATAGAAAACTTCTTCAAATTGTTCAAAACTCTATTAATATTTTGCACTAGATCAATTCAATAAAAATCATACCAATGTAGTAAATTAATTTATAAATTATTTCCCTAAAAGCAGTAATTCTAATAATGATGAAAATTTGTAACTTAATTTTTCCCCAAAACTAGCAGTAAAATTGAAATTCTATGTAGTAAATTGATAAGAAGAAAATGCAGTACAAACCTTTTGATATTTTCATTTACTCGCACAAGAACTCTATCCAAATTCGCACAGCTCGCCCACGAAGAATTGTTTGAATAATGAATCTCAGTTTCAAGCTTTAACACTCAACAACTCTAACACACGATAACACGTTTCAAACTTTCCTTTAACCCGGTTGGAAAGGAATTATATACTAAACAAAACTAACCAATGCAGCTTACTAAACACCACAAATCATAGTATAACAGCATGACTAAGAAAAGGAAACCAACGGTACCCAAACCGAATTAACCCAGTTTAAAACTGGATAATTTATTCTTTTGAAGACTATTATAAAGTCTAAGAAAGAAATAATAAAACACAAAAAAGTCGAAAGACAAACCCATACCAAAAACGATTTGATTTTTGAAAAAAGGACACAACCAACGAAACATAAGAAAAACCACAACAAACCCAACATAAAAAGTTATCACATAACAGGATTTCTCACAGAAACCGCACGAAATCATACTCCCACTCCTGGCCTAACCCACCAGAGAGGACGTCCTGAGCATGCTCTATAGCCGGCCTAACCCACCGCGCTACATCCACGCTTTGTGACCTACTTCTATTTTTAATAAGAGGTACTCAAGGGTGAGTAGCTCTTCAAAATAACCGAACTAAAACAAAAAGCTTTTGTGAAAACAACTAACCAAAATCATAACTAAAACACCGAACTAATAAAAATTTTATAAAATGTAAATTATACTTTGCAGTATATAGATCAGCATACAACACCAAAGACGAACATCTAAAGACAAAATGACCCCACTACACTCGAAAAAGAATGGCCAACCACAATCAATATGCCGTCCACAATCACAACTCAAAGGATTTAGAGTACGACTTGACTTCGCAGAAAAGGACTTCATTGAAATAGACCAATGACCACCTCGATGTTCAAGTATACGTACAGATCCGAGTAACCAGGCATCCCCCTTCACGCACAATCTCCACGCCATTCCCAGACTAGGTTGAACACAAAAGAAGTTCTCTACATGAAACAGAAAAACCTGTCATAGCAAACCATTCTGAAACCAGATTTTAGTTTGTTGAGAAAACCCAGTCATTGTCATAAGAAGACACAACGATCGATCCTGGAACTTCTCTAACAGGAGAACCCAGAAGAAATATGATGTTCGCCAAATACCAACGTCCATCATCCATCCTTTGAATTGCAGAAAAACTATTCTAAAAAACTCTGTAAAACCCGGATGGGTGGAACCTGATCTAAACTACATTTTATGATTGGATAAATTAGATATTTTACCACTGTAAAGTATTTAATATTAACCAATCATGATCCATCTAACTAACAACCCACTTATTTGTAAGTGCTGAAATTACTTGTAATTTCAGCACCAGAGAGATTTGAATTTAACTTAGAAATTAGTTGCCTCTCCAAGAGAACTTCAGCAGCCGCAATAAACCAGTATACCCTAGATCTATTGAGCCTAGCAGAGACTAGTTAAACAACCTGAGACTAGATAGTATAAGAGTAAGATTAGGATCGGTATTAGACTAAGAAGTTGCACGAATCTATCCGGCCGAAAATAAGATAGCGTGACGAGCAGACGGTGTACCCTATCCGAAATTACTCTATGAGTTAACCACAACGGTCTTAACTCACTCCCCTTAAATCTGTGCCTGACCCGGCAATCGATTATGTCAATCTCACAAAGAGACTAAAACTGTGGAAATTTATGGATTCGTCGCTGGTTTGTTGATAATTTATTTTCTTTTTCCTTTCCAGTTCGAGACGCCGGTGCTGGAGACTGCGATGAGTCTGCTGGACAAGGCGGAGTTGCCCCCCAACAACAGACGGAGTGCCATCCATATCAGTCGCACCATCTCGAAACTAGTCAACTCTCAGGTCACTCGACAGACTAGACAGTCCTAACTATTTCTCAGAGAACAGTCTGAAAAACGGCACAATTTGTCTAACACCATCCCCCAGAATGAGTTCTTCTAAGATGATTAATTAAAAAAATAGTAATTAGATGAACGTGGACATATACTGGAAACAGTTCATTATCATGATTATTATAGCAGGGCAAAAAACAGAACAGACTCCCCCTAATTTTGCATGGGAGGCTCTGTGGTGTGGCTGTCCGGCCTGAAAATTATCAAAACAACACATATAAACTGTTATTTGAAAAAAGACGCATATCATGATAACTTGAAACAATTTCAGCTTATTTTAATTTAAGTCTCAGTTTATTTTTCGCATATTTTGGCCGCACTTGTAGACAATCTTCATTTTTGAAAATGGAACATGGCGCAAATGATTGTCAGGACGACGAGGGTGTTCTGGTCGGCAACTGGTCTGGCGACTACAGCGGGGGGAGGGCGCCCACTTCCTGGACCGGCTCAGTGCCTATCCTTGAGGCATACGTTGAAAATGGCGAGAAGCCAGTCTCATACGGACAGTGCTGGGTCTTTTCCGGAGTGGTCACTTCAAGTAGGCATCATCAGTTTTTGTTCTCTTTTTTCCCATTTTAATCCCCCGAACACAGTTACGTCTGCGATAAATATGTCTTCTATACCTGGGTTTTAACCCGGTCAGCATTTTAGCCAACTGAACTTTAAGCCCATATTCTTCTCACTTCTCTCTGGCTTTTGACAATATATCAACTGATATTTCTGTCTCGGAGAACTACTACACTTTAAATGGCCAAACTCATATAGTCTTTGTTGCCTAAAATTAAACTAACGGCAACGTTCGTGGCATCGCTTCTGGTTAGAACCAGTTTTTTTTTAACGAGAAATATTTCGTTGCGCAAATTTTTTGGCCTATTTATTTTTTGCTTATATTTAGCTGCTGCTTCATTTTTGTGTCAGTTTTTTCTCATATAAGAAACAACTAACTGAAATTTGAAATCTAAATCGAAGTAATTCTTTTGAGTTGCTTCAATGAGTTATATAGTTTTCCTGTGAACTGGTTTTGCTTGATATCAATTTTTTCTAATCTTTGAAATGTGTTTTGATTTTGTTTTAATTTCGGCCATTTTCTGATTGACTTTTTTGGCTTCAGGAGAAACGCTATGAAATCTGAAAACTAGGTGACTGCTACGCAACGCAATATTTTTGAAAAAGTGTTTGGAAATAACTATTTCCAGTATTTAGTTACAAACTTTTGCTCAATATCGCTTTTTTTCGGACTTGATTATTTTTTCCAATCACGAGTCATTTTTTTTGGTTGTTTAAGTTCCACTCTTTTTTTCCTCGTAAAATCAGGAAATCTAAGCAAAAACGGAACTTGTCGAGTTACATATATCATGTTAGTGTTCTTTCAGTCGTGATTTGAACGATATGTTGAAAGTTCAGAACAATTTTCTCAAAAAATCTACAAATTTTAGTATAATTTTGAGCAAATGAAGCAAGTGAGCATGCTAATAATAAGGTGATAAGCTGTTTTAAGCCATGAAAAAAAAAATTTCATTAAAATTAGTTTTTGAAAATTTTTTTAGCGCCTTCTTTAAAAAAAATTTTTTAAAAATGTTAGATGTCCTAATTCTTCTTGATTTTTTGTTTTTGTTTTCATTTTCTGAAGGAAAATGTTGTCCAACTTTTTATTACTCTCGAACACGCCTAACAATTTGAAAAAGAACGTTTTGTTTTAAGCTTTTTATCATTTTGGTTGATCTTACTGTGCTACTTGTACAGCAGCCGGCTATCAGGTAAAATTGGTGCTTTTTTCAGTATGAGGTCGGTTTTAATCCAAAGGTTTACCGAAAAATTTTGTCCTGGTCTTTTTTGAAAATATTTTGAATACAACAAAATTTTTATCAAAAAGTGATTTACAAAAAGAATGAGAATTGTATGGCAGTGTTTCAAAAAAGCATACTGATTTGTTTTTCATTTATTATTTATAAAAGTTTTAATTTTTTGATACCTATATTTTTTGGAACGAAATGGTCTTGAAAGTAGATTAAGCCGCAAAAAAGGTAGTTTAAATAAGGATAGATAACGCCGCAAAGTTTCAATGGTAGCTTGCGCTGCAAAAAAAAAATTAGATAGCAGTTTATAATCCGGCTGGAAGCCTTAAACATCGTACTTGTCTATTCTTTCTGTCTGGATTTCAGACAAGATGAAAAATTGTATCAACTATGTATCAAATTTTCAGTTTAATGCTAAGTTTTCATTGAGTGAGGACCACTTTCAAGAAGATTGTGAAAGATTTATCATTAAGATGTTTTTAAGTAGTTGTCTTCATTTGTTGTGAAAATAGCTGTTTTTTTTTAAATATTTTGCTACAGCATTTTTTGCCGATGTTTCATCAGTTTTCGCTCTATTTTCTCGGCATGCGTGGAGTGCTGGGAAAGGTTAAAAATGCCTCAGTTAAAATTTTCTATACAATGCTGATTTGCTGGTTAAATAGTTCTCAACCAAGCTAGCGTCGGCCTTTTTCTCTCATTTTGCACGGTTTCAATAGGCTGTTATAGACTTAAGCTGGTCGAGGTATAGCAACTTGAATGGGAAAACAAAAAACTACTGCATAGAAGAATAGAAGAGTAGTTTTTTGCTTTTCCTATTCGAGTGCCTGGCTGGCTTTAGTGTTAAATATTCGTAGAAGTTTTCAAAAGGCCCTTTAAACACGTCGAATAATTGGCTTAGGGTAATTTCTTTTAGCAGTCAGAGCCAATGGCAAAACGACGTGAAAGAGCTTCATTAGCTCGCGTATTAATTCACGTTTTGCAAGTGATTGCATTATTGAACATAACATCAGGTTTGATTGTTTGTTCAAGCACTAGTTTTTTTTAAATTTGATTATTTTTGGTTGAATTATCATATCAAAACTTCAAATATTTGAAAGTTTTATAGTTTTAACTATTTGTGAAAGAAAATAATGCGATATGATTGATTGTTGTAACTAAAAGTCAGAATATGACACTAGATGTCAAAAACATCAAGACTAAACACCACTGTCGGACTCATGAAGCTGAAAAAAGACCTGTTAATTTTTTTATTGACACCCAAGAAGAAGACATAGAAGGTTTTTAATTTCTTGGAGTTCATCTCGACGGCAAATTGAATTTTCATCAGCATATTGACCAAGTACAAAACATAAGTTTGCAAAAAAACTTTTTGTGGAAATTTTTTTTCCATTGAGAAGGTCTTTCATGTCTGCAATTTATAATTGCATATAGAAGTTGTGTGCAACCAGTCATCCACCATGGAGTTTCAGTTTATTCAAGCACTGAGAAAAACTAAACTGTTAGAACTGGAAATGAACTTCAGGCGGCTATTTAGAATAAACTTTGAAAAGCCCAGGATGGATTGAATCACCGAATTATTGCATGACAATAAAGTATATACGGTAACAGAAATTTTTGCATACGATTGTTTACTTGATCAAGCGTTAAACACAATATGTACAAAGAGAAATCAAATCAAAAGTTAGTCATAAAAAAATTAACCTCAACAGTGGGTCCATTTGACCTAAATTTTGAAAAATGTTTAATACCATTTGAAATTATTTTCCTGCCTGGGTGAGTTTTTGAAAGTGGCTTCACTGATTAAATTGAATAGTTTTAATTATTAAATTTTGGAAATTTTCATTATAGGAAATACAGTTGTTTGGGCGTACTTGAAAATACTTGAATACGTAGAACTTGTTTCTGTTAATTTTGTTTCTCTTGGTTGAAAAGACTACCCAAAAAGCAAAAAATATATATATATTTTTTGAAAGACCAGGGATGAAAGCAGGTGTACGTTTAGTACTTGTAACAAAGAGTTGTACGTTTGGTAAATATTTACCTAAGAAGTTTTATTCGTTCTCCGCATAATGGGTTTCTTGAAAACGGGCCGTGCAGGCTTAATGGTTTTCTCCCATATGATTCAGACTAGTTTTTATAAATATTTATAAATAAATTTGTAACTAGATATTGCTTGGAAACATTTTATTATAGTATTGCGTGCATTGGGAGTTCCGTGTCGGAGTGTGACCAACTTCGACTCTGCTCACGACACTGACGAGAACATGACGAAGGATGTCGCATTCGACGAGAACATGGACAAGATAGATGATATGAACGACTCCATATGGTGAGAAGTAGTCCCAAGTTTCAACTAAAGTCAGTTCAACGAAACGTTTTTTGTTAGTAGTTCGCTTCTAAGTTCTAGTAGCTCGACTTTCAAAGCAGCTTTGCAAATATAGCTCAAATAGAGCTTTCAAACAACAAAAATTAAATTCCACGAAAAATGTTGCTCAAAAGTTCAAAAGTGTATATAAGTTTAAAAGCCTTCACGGGACTAAAAAAAATAATTCACTTTTTCGAATTGGGTTGATTTGATAAAAATGCATTTCTTTATAGGTTCTCGAAATCAAAACAGTTTTAGGATGATGAAATTAAACTTAAAAATGAGATAAAAATGAGATTAAACTTAAAAATGATGAAATTAAATTTAAAAATGAGATAAAAATGAGATTAAACTTAAAAATGATGAAATTAAATTTAAAAATGAGATAAAAATGAGATTAAACTTTAAAAATGAGATTGGCAATTTTTTTTACAGTTTTTAATTGACAGTTGCCAACTGACTTGGATGTTTGAATTATTTTTGTGTGCATGATTTTGTGCAGGAACTTCCACGTATGGAACGAGTGCTGGATGACTAGGCCAGACCTCCCTGCTGGCTACAACGGGTGGCAAATCATAGACGCCACACCGCAGGAGGCCAGCGAAGGTAAAAACACGTACCATCCTTTTTTTTTACCATTTACAATAAACAACTGGTGAAATCACTTATGAAGTTTTTTTTCTAGTTCCTGAGATAAAAGGAAGACACAGTCACGATACATAGAACTTACAATTTTTGATTTTTAAATGCTGAAATGAACAAAAATTTCTCACATTTGTGCCGTGTTCTCTTCAACTACCAGAGATTTACTGTTGAAGTTTTGAGATTTTATATGAAAACTGTTTTTTAGAAGAAAAAAAACAGATACATTACGAGACCAAAATGTGCACTGGATAGTCGCACAATTTGGTGTCGGTAGTTTCCTGGATTCCATAGACAAACCTTTAACCTTGTTTCAAAATGTAAGGGGATTCCACTGACAAAATTCCTCGGATTTCGCGTTCAAATACCTGTAACGTAAATTTTGTCGGAACCTTTGTTGTGTCGCGGATTCCGCAATAAGCGAACACGAATATAGTTATTTGTTCTGGATTCCGCAACTGCAAGTGGATTCCACAAATTGTAAGCGGAATCCGCAAATGTAAGTGAAACCCGCAAAATTTGTGAGCGAAATCCGCAAAAGTTGTGAGCGGAATCCGCAAATGAAAGCGGATTCCGCAAACTGTAAGTGGGTTCAGAATTTTTTTATTACTGAACTTGCATATGAATAATTAAAAGCTAGAGGTGGAATTCTTATCTATTGCAATTCGGAATTTAAAGCAAGGCTTTAACCATTGTCAGCGGAATCCACGAACAAATCTCAAAATATTTGTTAACTAAGTCGGTGGATGTCACCTTTTAGTAATTTGGAAACACAACACCGAATAAATTCGTTATTTGGAGTCGTTGGGTTGAGACTGTATGAAAATACAACACAGAGTACATCGCCAAATTGGGTCAGTATTTGGGATTCCACCAATCATAAATACTAATTTTAGAAGCATAACGCCGAATAAATTCAATATTTGTTTTCATTGGGTTGAGAGTGTTTGGAAACACAATGCGCAGCATATCGCCGAATTAGGTCAGTATTTGGGATTGCATAAGTTAGTCTCTATTAGATTCAGATTCTTGTGAACTGAGATCGAAGCACAGATCGAAATTTACAGGATTTGAGATGCAAGTTGGGTTGACAAGAACTGAGACTAAACGTTTAGTAATTCAACTGGTAGTTGATCAATGTAGTAATTGAGATTGGTTTTTCTGGTAACCACCAAGTATTTAAAAAATATATTTTTAAACGCTATACTACACACACGCAATTATCTAAACGGAATCCGCAAACAAAACGCGGATTCCATTTACAATTTGCGGATTCCACTTACAATTTGTGGATTCCGCTTTCAGTTGCGAATCCGCAACAGCTCAATTTAACTTTACAAATGTCTTATTATATGTTAGATGATTTTCGCAAACTGTTCTCAATTTCGCAAGTGCGGTAGCTGAATCCGCAAAATTTGGCTATTTTTGGAGCGATTTTGAGCGGTACAGTGTTTTGGGTATTTTTTTGTGGAATCCAAAACAGCAATAAAGATCAAATAAAAGTAGCAAAGTTGCGGATTCCACATGAAATCTAATTTTGGCCTGTAGCGGAATCCGCTTTCAACGCACAGAGTGCACAATTTGGCCTCGTAATGTAATAAACTGTATTAATTTGTTTTCAAGGCGTCTTTTGGCCATCTAACCCGAGGGCGACGGGAGGTGTTCTCAGAGCTAAAAAGTCACCGTAAACACCACGATTATTTTAAAACTTCGACTTAGAAAGTGCTCATTGAAAAGCCAAGGATCTAAGCAATGTCCTCAAATAAGTTTAAAACAAAAAAAAATAATTTAAAATTTTGTAAACTTGTTGACTGAAATTCAGTTATTTCTTTAGTAAAAGCTGAGTCAAGATTGGTTTCGCAATTGAGCCGTTTTTTGTATTGCTTTCCAAAGAAGGGACAACCGATGTAAGGGCCTGGCTAAGATTCTCAGCTTTCCTACGAAAACTTCTAAATACAAGTTTTAAATTGGCCGTGCTGTTTACTGAGACTATTGGCACTAAAACATCTCTCTGGCACTCTCTGATTAAATTGCCAAACGACACCTTCAAAATTTATACCGTTTTTTACCCGGCTTTTATCTAAAAACAGTTGTTTCTCTTGTATCTCAAATTTTCAACCGTGAGTCTTTAGTAGTTGTACAAAAACGGCAAATAGTTGTTCATTTGATTGTATAAAAACTAAAAGTTGCAGCGTTTATGCTCCGTGTTTGTAAAAAAGAGTAATAGTTAACTAAGCTTCATTAGCATCATTACAAAAACAGATCAATAGCATAGTACTTTTTACTGTTTCGTCTTTCGAAAAAAAGCGAGCGACTATTTATGTCTGCTATTTTATAGAACAATTTCAAACTTTTTGACAGAATAATTTTTGCCATCTGAAAAAATTTGATGCCTTGAGCTGGACACCGCTGCAACTACCCTGGTTTTCCAAAACTGCTACTCATGCAATTTTCATACACAAAAAAATGCTTATGATACACTTTTCATGCAATTTCATAAGAACAAAAAATTGGATGAAAGGTCTATGGTTAGTGATTATTCATATATTGTAAGACCAGCATTTTTCCAGAAACCAAAAAATTCGATTTTTTCAAATTTAATTTTTAAAATTTTTGGGATGTGTTTGTAACCGGACACGAGTGACAAAAACTATTACTCAAAGTTAGAGTAATTTAAGGTTTGAATGTCTTACCTTAAAAAAGCATTGGAAACGACCTGGACTATTTTACACAAATGATAAACTGAAGTATCAAATTTTTACTGATTGGCAAAAATTTTTAAAGATGATCGTTTTCAAAAATTGAATTTTTTTAAATCAGAAGTTGATCAAGCAAACCTTAACATGACACACAAAATGAATTGGAGTTTTGAGATATTTTCAAAAAAAGTTATAAGGAGAAATGGAAAAAATATATATATTTTTTTGTGTATCTAGGACTACGTTATGCACACAAAAACTTAAATTGTGAACAGAAAATGTTTGTTTGAGTACGGAGTTCGTGTTTTGGCTGAAAAAACCAAAAAAAAATTGTTTCTTTGGATATGAAATATCAGCCTGGTCTACGTTATAGACAAAAAAAATTTTTTGCATGCATTTTTTTTTTCGTAAAATGTTTATTTGAGCATGGAACTGGTATTGCAACTGACAATTGAGAAGAAATCATTCCTTGAAATTTGGATTTTTTTACTTTGGAAATTTCTATGCAGCATTTTAAAAATTGCCTATCATACAATTTTCATATATGGAAATTGTTTGATAAAAATTTTTTTCCATGCACTCAGTGTATGAAATTGTACGATAAGCTTTTTTAAACAAACAAAATTTATTAACAACTTCTGAATTTTTTAGTAAAAATCTGAGTAGCATACTACTCCAAACAGCTTAAAAACAAAACAAGTAAGAAAGTTTGACCTCATGTTAACCTCTACAACCAGTTTTCCTATAGATCTATTGAGAGCAGGAAACGAGAGAAGGGCTAAAAATCAGCATTAGATCGAGTAATTGCTTAAACCTATCTGATCGAAAACATGTAACTAGACAAACAGACGGTGTCATAAATCAGAAATGTATTGATTAGATAATGAGCTGGCCCAATGCATCTGTTGCAACAAACGAATACCGAAAAAACCTTAAATATTAAACTTAAATTAGATGTTTGGAAAACTAGACTTGAACTTCTGCGTTTCAATTTACCTGACAAAAAATTTTCAAACTTAAAATATCATCAATAACTAAGCACAAAAAGAGCGTGTACAATTTTGATCATAACATGAATAAGCGTTTTCTGTACTTATAGCAAAAGAGGATTTTTTTTGCTATTCATGTCTGGGAAAGCAAAAAACTGTTGTTAGTGGTTTCAACATCTCCGTCATTCAATTCAAAATTGGTTTTAATTCTTAAAACGTTCTGAACAAACTCGAAATTGTAAAACCTTACTTTTAAAACGGTTGACATAAAAGCAGCAACTTTCACAAGCTGACAGTTTCCAAAAAAATGCAAACAATGATATCAGTTTTTTTTAAAGAGTAGATTATAAAATAGTTTGTTTTGCTCTTCGCATGACGTCGTTATCATTCCGATTGAAGGTCTGAAAACTGATACGAAACAGTCGTGCTTTGTATTGGCATTATCTACTTGAAAACAAAAAAAAATCATTTGTTTTTGTCGATATTACTGAAAATCGAGTCGTGTGTAAAGAAACCTTGGTAGTTTCCAAAGTTGCAATAAATGATTCCGTTAATTAGTATCTGGTAGTTCTGACAAGATTAGAACGTATATCAGTGTAATTTTGCCTCAGTACTAAAAAAACTACATGAAGAAAAATAAATAGTTATGAAAAACAGGACATTTTGGAAATACAAACTATGAAATCCATTACATATGAAACTAGACCACAAAACTAGTGGAGTTTTATATGAAAAATCTTTTTCATATATGCACTTTTTCATCAGTTATGCGAACTAGAAAACACAATAATCACAATTATTGATAGTTGCAGAACTAAAATCCTATATGCAGGATATCTCCTTCCAAGTCATCAATCAGTTTTTGTCGCTTGCGAATTACGAAAATTTCAGCTCATGATGGTTGCACTAGTACAAGAAAGTTTTTGCCCCTTATATATAAGTATGTACAGTTTGGCCTCGTAATGCAGGGCTTTGCGCTGGTATGAGCAGTGTTGTTCTCTCCTATGTTTGTTGTTGAAAAGTGAAGCAGCAATTATCAGCTCAAAAAAGTAACAAAAAGTACTCTAAGTACTCTGGAGTCTCAAACTCTAACTGACTTCAGGTGCCATGCAGCTGGGTCCCTGCCCTCAGGCCTGCATTCTGGACGGAAATGTCTACCTCGGATACGACGCCAAGTTCGTGTTCGCCGAAGTATGTACTCATCTAGCACTACTAGCCACTAAGTTCACTTATTTTTGTTATTATTCGAGATATGATATCGTCTATTTTGGCTGGCAGCCTATTTAATCCGAAGGCGGATCTAAAAATTAAGCAGTTCGAACCCCACAGCTAATGCTTTTTGATAACTTTGTTAGACTGACCATGCAATTCTTACATTTTGGTGCTAGAATATAATTAATTTGATAGAAAAGCAGTCACCAAAAACGCTAAAAGACATTGACTGATGTGAAATCCTAACCCCCAAATATCCCAATTCTCCCCTGGTTGAAAACTTGCCTACCACCTGGTAATGTAGCATTGAAGTGGTAAGAAGATAAGGGCAGCACTAGAGCATTAAGACGTGCGTTCTTGATCGTCTGAAGAGCTAGAATGTCGCGTAAAAAGAATCATTTGCTTTTTTGTCTGATTGGTGAGTGCAGTTCTCTCCTATATCTATCTTGTATCTAAATTGAAAGTCCCACAATCTTGAAGTTTCTGAACTGTAATCGTACATTTATTGTCCTTCAACTAAGATATGAAACCAAATCAGATACACTGATCAACTGAACAACTGACTTTCTCAAAAGATAATGTGAACAGATTAGGAACTTGAATGCCAACACTGGCTGGCTGTTCTGTTCAGGTGAATGCGGACGTGGTCCACTGGCAGTGGAAGGATGGTCGCTGGACTGTGCTCAAAGTGCTCACTAAGGAGACTGGCACTGCCATCTACACTAAGGCAGTGGGCTTCGACAGCCACCACGACATCACCAACCAGTACAAAAAGAGAGAAGGTATTCTACTCCACAATCACACCACTTCTCTGCTTTGTAACATTCGCCCAAACATCACACAGCGACGGAAAGTAGAAAAAGTCCCAATTGACGCCACATACTTTATTTTTACGTGTTTTTCATCGTCTCCACCAAGCTAGCTGATTTTAGTCTGTTGGTCGATGAACGTGTTGCTGCTTGCCTAACGAATCTTCATAGCCTTAGACTTTATGCAAATAATAACCACGTAGCTGGGTCTTGGCTCCCCAGAAAACGTAATGACAAACGGGGCTAAAAACTATTATTATAGTTATTTTACTGACATTTACATATCGAATTCATTAGAGATGGACTGATCCTTTCCTCGTCCTGAACTACTCATACTCTGAAATAAACTATTCATTTGGAATAATGTTCAAGCGTTCAGGGCATTCCAGTAGTTATAACGGCTTTAAAAATTAATTATGAGTCAATGGGCACGGGGCCTCCAATTCCACAATTCACGGGGGTTAGCATTGTTATCCTCTCAATTTCCAGGCTGAGGAGAAATCGGGTCGATTACGAATCTGCCACTGAAATTCCCGTTCCTTTCAAATTGGGGAGAACACTTGTGTCGTGCGAGAGTATTTCATGTCCGGCTGCTTCTTTCTCAATATCGGTTTCTCTTTCATAATCGACCGCTTCTAGTCTTGTGTTCGGCTGTTTTTTTAGGTTAATATTTCGGCCAATCTTTGCGATTTTTAAATTTCTGAGAAATATCAAGTAACGAATCGAAAATTTAAAGTTTAAATTTCTAGAATTTTGCGCACCATCCTTTCCATCGAATTTCCGTCGTTAACGATTTTAGTGACGGTTCCCTTATATTCGGAAGGTTCGGCTGTGCCTTTAGACAGAATGGCACATTTTTCAGAAAAATTGCTTTGATCAATCTAAGGCACTTGTTGACAATCTCCCCTCTACAGACCACGTGAACTATCTACCCCAAAATTAAATAGCAAACTTCAAGCCATAAGGCCTGCATGTCCTATAATTATAATTGATTGGCTGAAAAAAATCACTTTTAACCAAGCGAACAATTCTCCCTAATTTGGTTAAGGGTCAGTTTGTTCACAGGTCTCAATCCAATGACCTTTTGAAATTTAACCGGGTTCCGGCTCCATTGAAATGTTGACATTTAGCTTTTCCGGATTAATCGATAATGAGATCTTGTCGGCAGTTAGTACGATGTAGTAATTTACTAGTGAAATCCAATGCAAACTTGATTTGAATTTCCTTGATAAAATGCTCCAATACAAGTGCATTTAAAAATGTGGGTACCTCGAATTCACTTCTATTAGAACCCCAAATGCAATTAAAAAATTTTTTTTTGTTTTTGGTTTGTATTAGTTTAATTATATAAGCGCTAACGTTCAATCTTTTTCAACCTTTTTTGCGACTTTTGAAGACAATAATGAAATATTTGAGCTTGGGGTGGTTTTTTTACAGTCGAATTTCAGCTTTTTAACCAAATGTTTTTGACAATTTTTTTTTCTTTTTGCAAGATATTGTTGTCTTGAGCCTTAATTTCAAAGACCTTTCATGAGTGATAATTTTGTTTTAAAGTTATGGGGGATCAAAATTGCCCGCGACATGCTGCGTTCTTAAAACACGCATGAGCGCCAAGAACTAGAAGAAAGAAATAGATGAAAGAATTAAAAGAAAGAAGTAGGAGAAAGAAAAGAAGAAGAAAGGCGAAAATAAAATTTAAAAAATAAATCTTTAACCAAAAAATTTGTTTCAGCTAGAAAAAGCAAGTCGAAACAACAATCAGGCTTTTCCCTAATAAAACGAGCAGTCTTGTGTTTTGTTTATGAATCTTTTGCAGGTTGCTAAACTTGACTTTTTTACTGGTAATACGGCGTTATTTGGATCGAGCTGACGGCTAATTAGGAAATTTTTCAAAGGGAAACTGTCAGGCCAGAAAGTTTGGTTGCAAGAAAAGTTTGTTAGCCAATAAGAATTCATCAGCATTCGAAAACAGGTAGTTCTGGACTTACATAGACTGCTTGAAATGAAATACTTGCAGAAAAATTTCCGAATGACTTGTGCAAGATTTGTTTTCGTTCCGATTTTGAAGAAATTGGCTGCGTATTTGCGCTCGCGGTGGTTTTTTCCCCATACAAAGTGTAACAGTCGTCCAGACATTACACAACAAAAGAGCGTAGAAAAAGTACCTATTGACGACTGGCTGACGACAGTTACTCAAATCCTACTCGCTTTTAACCGTCTAGACCTAGCCAGATGTTTTTCTGGTCTGTTAAGGGCTAAGTACTATGTTAAATTTTTCTAGGTCATCAGCCAAACGACTTTTGATCAGTTTTCGTTTACTTGCAAAAATAACCACATAATTGGGTCTCGGGTCCCCAGAAAACGTGATTACCGGTAAAAACACGGCTAAAAAAACACAATGTAAAATGTTTTTAATGAAAGTTATATACTAAATCCATTAGAGATGGATTGACTCTTTCCTCTACTCTAACTGCTCATTCTCTGAAATACTAAAATAATATTGGAGTAAACTAAATACGTTCAGGGCATTACAGCAGCTAAAATATATCGTTAATGTCTCTAACAGTCTCTCGGCATCGGGCCTCCAATTCTGTACTCTCTTGCAGATAAAATCGTTATCTCTCTGATTTCGTTGCACGGGAGGGTTCGGATTCGTCCCGAATGTCCTACTGGAAAATATAAAATTCTAGAACATTCTGAGCCTCCTTTTCATTATTATTCCGGTACTAACGCCTTCAACGTTGTTTCGTGCGTGCGATGGAAGGTTCGACTGTGCAATCAGGGGGAATGGCACATACTCCCCGGACAGTCCCCTCACTGTTGTCTCCATTGAACCCATAACTCCGAGTTATCTTCAAATGGTGATCCAGTGTTCTATAAAAAAACTTACAAATTGCATCAGAACCAAAATTCGTCCCCGTCACCTCAAGGCCCGGCGTGTCATAAATGGCAGCACTTTTTTAACATTTTCAGCTTCTAACATTTTCACAATTTCTGCACCATGAGGAATGTCCTAGATAAAGTTTATTTTCTGACTTCTTACGTCATTCCACTATAAAATTTCTTTTGCTCTTGCTGGTTAAGTTACCCACAAAGTATAATCGTTTACTCATGCTGTTGCCCTAAGTATTAAAACTGAGAAACTCTTCTGAGGCTAGGAAAAGTAATGAGGTACACAAACTTCAATGATCTTCAACTCTGGTGTTTTTGTCATGGGGTTTACTACCATGGCCAATTTGGGACAAACAACGTGTGACATTTTTCCGGCTATTAACGTGTAAGCAGAGATTCAATCCGACCTAGAAATCCGTCCTAGCTGTTTGTCATGATTGCAATGTTGTAGGAACTGATTAAATACTCTAATGCTTAAGCTAAATTGCCAAAAAGGGGTAACACCAAATTAAAACAAGACTGCGCTTATCAGGGCGAAGCCTTGAATGTTCCGATGCCTTTTAAGGTTTATGGAGCAGTAATAACATTTAAAATGAAATAAAACAAAATGAAATTTTTTTTCTAAAATTTGAAATATTTTATGAAAATCATCCCCCCACCCGCCATATAAAGTACAAAAGGATAGATTTCGCTCCTTGTAACAAACCATTTATGGTAAATAGTCTTCTTTTAACCAATTTGGAACGATTTCTAAGACGGAATAACTCTCCGCTTACGCGTTAATAGCGCGAAATATATCGCGCGTTAATTGTCCCAAATTGGCCAAAATGGCAATCTTTAAACCCCCGTAACTTTACAAAAAATGACCACAGGTGAAATATCTTTTCAAATATGAGCTCAGGACAACAATACGTTTCGAGTGATATAAAAAAATATCGTCAAAAGTGGCTAGTTAAAAAGTCGAAATTTATCTGAAGAAAACCCACCCCGAGCACAAATATTTCGTTACTTTCGTACCGAAAGTCGGAACAAAAAATGGGATGACTTAATTGTCAAAATTATGATTGCAATGTTGCTAGGAACGGATTAAATACTCTAATGCTTAAGCTAAATTTCCAAAAAGAAGTAACACCAAATTAAAACAAGACTGCTCATATCAGGGCGAAGTCCTGAATGTTCCGACTGCCTTTTAGGATTTATGGAGCAGCAGTAATAACATAAGAAAACTAAATGAAAAAAAAAACAAAATGAAATTTTTTTTTCTAAAATTTGAAATTTTTAATGAGAATCATCCCCCCACACGCCATATAAAGTAAAAACAGAGAGATTTCGTTCTTGTAACAAATCAATTATGGCAAATAAGCTTCGTTCAACCAATTTGGAACGATTTATAGGACGGATTAAATCTCCGCTTACGCGTTAATAGCGCGAATTATATCGCTCGTTAATTGTCCCAAATTGGTCAAAATGGCAATCTTTAAACCCTCATAACTATACGAAAAATGATCACAGGTGAAATATCTTTTCAAATTTAAGCTCAGGACAACAATACCTTTTGAATGATATAAAAAAATTCCGTCAAAAATGGCTAGTTAAAAAACCGAAATTTGTCTGAAGAAAAAAAAACCCACCCGAGCACAAATATTCCGTTACTTTCGTATCGAAAGTCGGAACAATAAATGGATGACTTAATTGTCAAAGTGTTTTTTAAGAAGTGAGCACGATCGATTGAGTTAGATTAAATGTCAGACAAAGACTTGTTTGAAAGTAACTTAATAGGTGATATAAAATGAGATAGCAATATTTCCCTTGGCAGCAAAAATTTAGATGATATGCTTAGATAAAATGTAACTACAACTACTTACGAAAACGAGGAGAGAAATATGAGAACGGTCTAATTAAATAAATTTAGACTACTATGATAATTGAGTTTCAAATTTTTTGTTAAAACTTAAGGAGAACAAGACTGCTCGTATCAGTATTTCAAGGTTTATGGAGCCGTAATAACATTAAAAAATTCAATGAAATAAAATAAAATGAAATTTTTCTTTTGAATTTGAAATTTTTTTTTGAAAATCATCCCCCCACACGCCATCTAAAGTACAAAAGGATAGATTTCGCTCCTTTGTAATAAACCATTTATGGCAAATAAGTTTCTTTTAACCAATTTGGAACGATTTTTAAGACGGATTAACTCTCCGCCTACGCGTTAATAGCGCGAAATATATCGCGCGTTAATTGTCCCAAATTGGCCAAAATGGCAATCTTTAAACCCCCGTAACTTAACGAAAAATAATCACAGGCGATATATCTTTTCAAATTTGAGCTCAGGACAGCAATAGCTCTCGAATGATATAAAAAAAATTCCGTCAAAAATGGCTAGTTAAAAAGTCGAAATTTGTCTGAAGAAAAAAAAACCCCACCCCGAGCACAAATATTCCGTTACTTTCGTATCGAAAGTCAGAACAATTAGAAATACAAATGGTTGCAACAGAATGTATTCCTATTAAGAAGTGTGCTATGCCAGTAAAATTTTTAAATTTAAGGCGACTCGTCAAAGTTTAATACCAGTAATGATTCAGATTAATAGCTAAGAATTTTTTGAGGGAGTTTAATTTCGACTTCTATTCCAAACAAAAATCTAGCAGGTTCTGATTTAATCTGGCTATTTGATTGCAAAGGTGAGTCACATTTAGCCCAAATTTTTTCCAATTACAGAGGCTGTCGAGATGTCTAAATTTGCATAGTCGTTTTCTGGCAGGTCAGCTAGTGTTGATCCATTGAAGTTTTGCTCGAATTATACGGGTGTCTGCTGGTTCAGTGGCCATTTGAATGTCTACAACCGCTGGAATAGTAATAACGAACTCCAAAATTATAGCCGAGCAATCCGTTGCCTTTTCTTCGGCTGACGCTGAGGTATTTGTGCGTTGGTCGACAAAAATTGGATTGTTAGCAATTCCGATTTGACCCTCAACATCTATAAATCGTATAATACCAAAAAGTTTTTGTGAGCCAGCTTTTCAAAGATATACATGAGGCAATTGGTGTCAATTAACCAATTTGGTCTGAGGCATCCATATCTTCCGAGGAAACAACTATCTCGAAATCGGGTAGTTCTCCTGCTGTTGAGTCCTGATTTTTCGGAATATTTTCGGTTTAACCCGTTTTCGTGTAAAGAGAAAGAGTTTCTTCGTTTCTACTGTTGGTGTCAGCTGATATTATGGAGACTGGTCATCCAGCTGTCAGCATATTATCTAAAAACTCAGTTTTACTCGTAATATTGGCTTTAAGTTGACGTCACTCCGTTTTGATGGTTTGGGGTTTTTTAAGATATCCAAAAATTCTCTCCTTTTCACAGTCTCTGCAAGGGAAACCCCCTACCGACCATTTCCAATCATTTATACTAGATGTATCCAATAAATTATAAAAAGACTCGTTGCATGCGGTTTGTTTTTTGTTTTTCTTCGCTCGTGCCCGGTCTTTAGAAGTTTTTTTCATTGAATTGGATTTTTTTTTCTTTTGAGGATTATTCCTCGAGAAAATGTTGAGCTGTTTGTGTTTTGTTCCTGGCTTGTGATTTTCACTTGAAGACTGGCGAGGAAGAAGAGTATTGAGTTCTTATTGCTCTCTGAGGAGTGGCTGTTGTTGGGTTCTCTGGTGGATGCGGTTTGTCACTTTTTAGTCGTCTCCAAATGATTGATCAATTTCATTGTCTGATCTTTTACCTATTGCGACACTATTAAATGTGAAGTAAGAAACTGGAATTTTACCCCAAAAAGTTTGCGGTGTTATCGAACCGATTTTGCTCAAAGCTATATCTGATTTTCGGATTTTTTTCCGCTAACCAGTTAAACCAGATATTTGGAGGGTTTTACGATTTTTGCATAAAACCTTCAAATTGGTGGGTTTCGTTAGCTCGGTTAGAATCTTTAAAGGGGACGTTACCTTTGGTTAAAAAAATCTCCAACAGATCTCGGCTGTTTGAAGTTTCTGTTGCTTTAATTTGGTGATCCGAATTGTAGCCTTTATCCGTTATATTGCGTTTTGTTGTGGTAGAGGCTCGTTGGTGTATATGTCTTCAATCCGGTCGTGTGATACCTCAATGCTCTATCCTTAATGATCTATCTTCATAAAAGCGTTCGGTTTTCTTCCGATTATTTTTTCAAAAGGAGAACACTTAATTGATGATTGAATGGTTGAACGTGCCGTTTCAAATAGTTTGAGAGACGGAATCGTTAAAGAGGGTCTGGGAGAGTCAAGCGACATTGCGAGAAGCTTCGTTTTTACAGTATGTACAAGTTTTTCTTCTTATTCATTGGTTCTGTGATGGTGACATTACACAATATTACTTTGATATCATTTCAATCACAAACTAATTCAAGTTCTGGGATGGTAAACCTAGAAGTTTGATCCACTCTACTCGATTTTGCAGTTCCATGAAACATATATCATCTTGAATGAAATGAATAACTGTGTTAGTAGAGGTGTTTGATGTAGTTTTTTTAGCGGTTGACTGGCTAAAACGGTGCTTCTGTCGCGAGAACAGCCCCCAAGGTGAACCCTGTGGGTTATTTTCTGTTACGGATGTTTTTCATCTTCTCAAATTGTAACATTTTGCTCGAATCAGATTGGCTGAAATCATTTCTAGAGAAATTAAATATAGGTTTTTTCAATAAAAACAGAAGCTCATAAGCTCATAATTGGTGGTTTTGGGCGTATAACAGAAAAGACGCGCTCTCTGTTGTGTTTTAGGATCTGACGAGGAGCGACTGGCTGTGATGAAGGCGGTGTCATTCGGGAGGAACCCTTTGATGTACCGAGTGATGGACAACTTGAAGGACGACGTGCTCGTGTCTGTATCCTGCAAAGACGCACTGGACCTCATAGCTGACAACTTCACCTACAAACTCAATGTGAGATTGATGAGCAAGTTTTTCATTACACTAAGTATGTCTTCTGCTAGCAGCAAGAAGCAAGTCTCTTCATTGGATTAAAATATTCATCATGTCTATCTTAAATTTTCTGTATTTTGTATGCCGGAAGCATGTTAATTGCACAGTCTGTAACTCGCACGCCATAAACTTGTTGTTTTGAAGCGCTCGTTTGAGTTTATTTGAAATGAAAACTTTGAAACCTTGATTATATTCTTGGAAATCTTTAGAAGCTTTTAGGATTGTCATTTCAAATACTAACTCTACAAACAAAGATGCTTGGCTCGAAATTTTTGAAGCAGCCACAGGAGGAGGATTTAGAGAGGGGGAGGGCTGAGGCTTAAATATATTTTAATTTTGAAGGGGAGATTGCGTCGAGAAGAGGCCATTTTTTGGTAAAAGTTTTTCAAAAGTGCCCAAAAATGGTATTTTTGACCTGTTTTTTAACTCCTTTTTCCGGTGTCGCAATAAATTGTGTCAAAATAGGTTTTTTAGTGTTCTGGGAGCGCTCGAAAATTTAATTTGCTCGACCTAAAAAAAGGACAAATTTTTGGATTTTTTTTGAAAATCCGCTACCCCCTTCCATAAAGCATCCTATATCCACCCTTCTAGATTTTGCTACGATAGTACAAACTTTGTTTTTGAAAGTTAATTGGAAGGAAGTGGGTTTGTTCTAATGAGTGACTACGTGTTGTCTGTTCTGACCAGCTGGCGAATGAGGGGGGCGAGGAGAGGACTGTGAGGACTAAAGTGGTGGTGAGGAAGGCACAGTACACTGGGGTGGGCAGACAGAGAATAGAGGGCACAGTCACCACTCACACACTACAAGCAGGAGAAGGTAAGACATCAGAGGGAGGGGGGTCAGAGTGAGTGACAATAGGGATGGGATGGTTCCACTAATCAGGCCCCCACCCCCAAGCATGATCAGAATCAGTTTGCTACACCAGGCATTCGATGTCTATATTCTGGTAACCCTCTTCAGTACACCCTATGAGGTCAAATGAGCAACCAAAACTGGAATCTGAGGTGAAGAAGTTGCCGCAGAAAGGGCTAAAAGGGAATAAGCAGAACGTCGAGTACAATTGGCAAATTATGCGCTCGACTGCAGACAGTGACTTTTTTAGTCTGTCGCCACGATGAAAAAGCAAATGATACGAAAAGTGCCAGAATAAGTGTGATGAATTAACATACGTGTACTGTTCTAGCTAAACTTTTCGGTTTTTCTTTTTTTATCGCAGATTTTTTGGGGGGAGGGGGGGAAGAGAGCGAGAACTTCGAGAAAAAGGCAAGTTTGCTATCATATTAATTGCGAGGGCACCAAACCACTAAATTGCAAAACAGACGCTAAACTAAAGTAAAACTCACAACCCCGAAACCTTCAAGCAATTGAAAAAATCGAAGTGTTCAATACCCTACAAGATATATACCAAACCTGGCTAAAGCTGCTTCAGCACTTAAACCGTTACTAAAAACACTGACAAACACAAAATACTTGATTGGAAGTCGGATCGGATCAGACAAAAGCATTTAATCACATATTGAAACTTGTTGCAGAAATAACTGAAACGAACATTTTGACCACAACTTAGAGACCCGAGTGGTCTGGGACGCCTCTACATTCGGGTTAGGCGCTGCTTTTGAACAATTCACCAATGAGGGCTGGGTGGCAAAAATATATGCTCCCAGATTCCTAATTTCTTTAGAAACGAAATTATTCGGTGAACGAATTAGAATTATTTTGGGCCGTATGGGCAATTGAACACTTCAAACAATTCACCGTCATCACAGACCACCGAGCTTTGGTCAGCGCGCTGAACGCAAGTGAAAGATCAAAAACTAGTCAAATTAGACTCAATAGACGGATCGATCGTTTGATCCCATTTAACTGTGATATGAAACATTTGGCAGAGACAAAAATGGGACTAATAGACTACATGTTGTGAAACCCAATAAGATTAGCACTGCCCCCAGTGAGTACGTTGAAGAATTTGTAGTAGCGTCAATTACTTCATTAATTGCAACTCTTGCATTGATTGACATTGTCCTTCTCAACATGCTAGCCAATCGAAATCAAGCACCGTATCGGCTGATCAAAACGGGCGCGGAAAATGAAAAAAAAATTAAGCACTCAATTAAAACCAAACATTCCGAACATAGTGATCACGGTCACAAAATTTTAAACAAAAGCAATCATTCAATCAATTCAACATCCCAAAATCAGCGGTTAAAAGAAAAACCTACTAAACAACAATAAATTCCGTAAGTTTACCAAACACAACATGAGCTGGGGGATAGAAATCAAAGATTTTAGGGAGGCTCCAAACTCGATTCGTCGAGAGCAAAAGGCAGCGGAGAAAAGGTCCAAACCCCACAGAGGACGACAGCCAGAAATCACCTGGAGAGGAGAATCGGATAGAGAGAAAAGTCTATCCGATCCCGGATGGCATCGCCGCACAACAGCAACAACAACGACGTACCAACGCTGGACGTCGTCGTCACAAGAAATTTCGTCAATTCCAACAATTATCAAAGACGCAAGAGAGAAACTCCAATCTAGCGACAGGCCCAGAAACTTCTCCAAAATAATAATTTCCGATAGCCCGATCAGCCCACTAGAAGATACAAACGAGGCCACACTGCCCGAAGGGACCAGCAGCCTAAAAGGAGCGACCTCCGCAACACAGACAACAACCCACTTGGTAGACTCGCAGACACAAACTCTCCAATACACAAAGAACAACCAGGACGTAGAAACCCAAAAGGACTTGACTGTTGAAGTCAACGAAGAATATGGACATTGCGTAGGCATTGCGTAGGTAGCAGCAACCCGCAAGGACAGGAACCTAAAACCCAGAGTCAACTTTGTAAAGAAGAGAGACTGTGACTCGCTCAAATGGGCCTACGGGGACTACTGGTACATCGTCGGCAATCGCATGCATGTCAAGGAGGACTGTTTACTTCTGGACCAAAAAATCATCTTTTCGCAACAACTCAGACAAATGACTTTAGACAGCGTACACCTCACGCATCCGGGGAAGTAGCGATATGGGACTTATGTGAAAAAATCTGGTTTCCAAATATTCATCGGACGATTGTACAACTGTTTGAAAACTGCAGAAAATGCACAGAATAAGGTAAAAACTAAAACCAAATGGAAACAGTGGTCAAACCAAATGAGAAAGTGCAACTGGTTTTTACGGGCTCCTCCCGGATGAATTAATTAAGGACGCATATATTCTGGTAGCCGTTGATATATGGTCAAAAATTCCGACAGCAAAACTAATCACAAACACAACTGCGGACATCGCGATAAAATTCAAGCAAAGATGTATTTCAAACAATGGGGTTCCACGAAAATTAAGATAAGACTAGGCACAAACGTTCCGAGAGAAAAAAAACTTAATTTTTGTGCAAATCAAATCTCACAAATTTTCTTTTTTATCTATCAGTGGACGACCACAGATCTATAGGGGTAGCCGATCGAATGATTCAAACAATATAAGGTAGGTTAAGGGTAGTGCGAATAGACTACACATCCCCGTTCAACTTGAAGTCGGACGTCGCGGAAATAAATAAAACACTTAGAATTACTCCCCACGGAGCCACAAAAATCATTCCCTTCGAAGCCCACATGGGACGAAAGCCAAATACACCACTTTCAAATAAAGCAACTACTATTTCACCAAGTAATTTTAATAGGGAAAACGCAAAACACGCTTCTTTAGATCGGAAAAACTTGATGTACCCGCCACTGCCACCAGAAGTAATGCACGACTTGCAATGTTGGTCGGAAAGCGATATGAATGTCAAAAGTAAAAACCAATCCAAAATCTACCAGAGCCGACATTTTCGGAAATCCAAAAGTAAATGGGAACTTCATCGAATCAGAGTAAAGCAGGTTTGAGAACTAGGTTTTCATTAGCTAGGGAGGAGGAATCTCTAGATTCTAACTTTGAAGGAATAGAGTCACAAGTAGACACAAACACTAGAAAGAAAAAACAACGGGTACCGAGAAAAACAATAAGACTAGCAACAAAAGTAAAAGACCCAAAGACAATTGATCAAAAGTATAAAACCATAGATGGAACAATTCTAATCTATGCACCACACACAGCTTGGGTACAAACAGAGGAAAATAATCCATTGTTAAGGAACAATGGATTCGCCTTTGTATAAAACCCTCCTCGGACTGTGCAGAAGATTACGGTTAAACAACTATGCTGTATACAAATCTGCAAGACGAGCAAGTCCAAGCTTGGGTTTTTGGATATCGAACAGCCAAATGCGCCCCAACACCCAACGATCAAAAAAAATGAACAAACAGGCCTGCCAAGAAGAAATGAGATGCAAGAAAAAAAGACTTTGGAGTCAGAAGGAAAGGGGAAACCACAGACCGCAAAATGATCAGGAGCGAAACCGACCCCCAAAGAACAAAGAGGAATGATGTTTCGGAAGGGAGAAAAGAAAAAGGCCTAAAACACGACATCATCAAGCGAAGACTGTTCATCAACCGCGTCAGAAATCATGGCACCATCGCCAAAACGGTTTAACGTCAAAAAGATGCCCCCACCAACCCAGCCACAGAAAACACAACCAGAGGCTACGAGGAAGTCAACGCGGACACGTCAATCAGCTTTGGCCAAAGTAACAGGGAAATCCAGTTCCGATAAACGGCGTCGAACAGAAACAATTCAGCATAGAATTGCCGGGCAAAAATATCCGGAAGCAAAATCAACCCAGCAGTCTTTCTAGCTTTATTCACGAAAAGTAAAAAAAATTCCTCCAAAATTTTTGCCTGCATGAGAATTTTAGAAACGATAAAGCGGTAATCGATCAATTGGTAAACACGATGTGGTCAAAATAGTAGACATTGTATCACCTTCTGTCAGCCCGAACAGAGAAACGATGATGGCGGTAGAAAAAAAGTATGTTACGGAAAAACATGAGATACCGGCGATAGACAAACAAATCAATACGACCGGGGAGCCTAGGAAGCAGCAAGACGAGGAAGAATGCGAGAATGTCCACATCGACACTAAGCAAGGCGAGGATACAGCGAAGCAGCAAAACAAAAAATTGCAGAAACCTGCGGAAAATTGAATAACTGGAAGTCCTACATTGACTCAAGAACTCACCACTTAAACTCAGTCTGTCCCACGGGGACTAAAACTCAATTTTTGCATCTATGGAATTGTAAAAATTTGTATGATTTGTGAAGCTTTTTTTTGATGTACGAAAATTTTCCGACTAGAATTTTGGTCAACCCGGGAACTGATATAATATGAGTTCTACTGGTCATAAAAAAAGCTCTTGGCGCAATATAAAACCTAATTTTCCGCATGAAAATAAGTTTTAACAGGTTTTTAGGACTATCATATTTTGTTCATTTTTTGCAGTTTTTTAATTTGCAATAAATTTACAACATTTTATTTTGTTAGAAAAAGTTTTACTATAAGTTGCTTCATATGTAGTTTCTTTTGTTTTTTTTTGTTTCTCGCTTGATAGTTTTGATTTACCTAATAATGATTGTTATTACCTTTGCGATGAGCAATGGTATAGCAATTGGGTAATAGCGTCTCCTGCACTCTTTGCCTGGAGGTTACGGATACATCTGGGACGTCAATGATCAAGGGTTCAAATCTGACCACTACTTATTTTTTTAAAAACAGAAATTTTTTGTTCGAAATAAAAACATCGGCCAAACATTTGTCTGTTTATGTTTTGTCGGCTTAGTTGCCACAACTAGAAATCGTTTTCATAGTAGTTGCTCTTAGAGTTTTCTCATTTTAAACATCTGATCTATCGAAATTTGACTTCTACGTTAGTTATATTTTTACCAACTGATTTGTTAAATTTCATTTTTTTTAAAGACTTAGTGGCCTCGTTTTGCGTCTTTCGAGGACCAAATTTTTTTGTGTATTTTGACGGGAAAGGCGACTAGCTTGATTTTTTCTTGAACTTTGATTAGCTTGAAAGTGTTTCGGCGCAGAAATTTTCGGCTTTTATGCCGCTTGCTAATTATAAATTCAGATTCAGTCGACCATCTGGCGTTAACGCAACACAACTGCAAAGGCTTGTTCTTAGAATCCGACCGGGACCTGTTGTTTTTGTTAACTAGATCCTTTGAACTTTTTCTGACTATCGTCCGTCTGTTTATTTTCATCGGCTTTGTTCTCGTAGCCCGACTTTTTTTTTGGAGGTTCAGCTTTTTTTTCAAATTGCTATAGAACTCATGCTTGAGACGCAAACCCGGGAGTTCGATTCGTTTTTTTTGCAAATTGAAAGTTTTCGGCTAATTTGGTTTGTTGTCTGTCTGCTTATTTTTGTCAGCGGAATCAGCTAAGGCCTTTTTTGAAGGTTTGGCTGCTTTTTTCTATTATTCCGAAAGCTCCTTGTTTAGTTTTAAATGGTACATGTAACAAAAACGATTTTTTAAAGGTTTTTCTTTCAAATTACTTTTTCCCATTTGATTTTCGTATTGCAAGTTATGCGAAGCTCAGCTTCGCCCCTGTATAAAATAGTTATTACTAACCAATCTCTGAAATTAATCCTCTAAAACATCTCTAAAACATTCACAAACTTATCTGATCAAAACAAATTGGCATGCTCGATCTAAAATTACTCTTTTAGATAGCAATTCAGTAAAATTTCAATAAACAGATAGAAAACCAGGGGCGGGTTTAGGATTTTCTCAAGGGAGGAGGCGGATATTCAACAAAATATCAAACTTTTTGTCGGCCTTTTTTGTTGGTTGACCCAATTGATTTTCCTACAGCTCCCAGTACACTATAAACACTTTGACAAAATGTTCTGCGCCGCACGCATTTAAATGGTTCAAAAACATCACATAAAGCAGTTTTTGGCGCGCGCTCTCCTTCAAAAGTAGTATATACTGGCGCCAAAAGCGCCTCGATAAATTTTTAAGGGTTGTTCACCGAAATTGGATATCATAAGGTAATACCAAAAGTGGGACACTTTGGTTGGTTATGGGGTTGAATCCGTGAAAAAAGGCGTCCGCCACGCCCCTGAATCCACCACTCTATATAACTATTGCTGTTATCCAACGATCTTTGTTGGTTTCTTTGATTTATGTCAATAGTATACTAATTAAGTAGTCAAAAATTAACATCAATTCTATGCCTAAGCAAGTAGCCAATAGCACAATTACAAATTTTTGCAACAGAAAGTTTAAAAAGAAACAGGAAAAAGATTTAATGTTAAGTCTGTTCATGCTCAACCAAACAAAGTGATGGTTTTTCTAGATCATTTTGATTTTTTTTTTCAAAAACAAAATGCAGTTTTTGGCTACATTTTGGGAATCAAAAAGTGCAAAAACTCAAAAAACTTCTGCTAAAGAACTTGAAAATTTTTCGAATTTTTATTTTTCTTTTATGCTTTTTCTGTTTTTTTTTCCAGAAATTGTTAACTAGTTTGCTCGTTTTACTATGACTTTCGAGTTTGCCTAAATTCTAGTTTTTCAAATCTTTTCATCACACCACGCAAAATAAAACACAATAATTTGAAGAAAAAAATGTATTTTTGAATTTTATGGTCGGAACATTCTCAGCTGTTTGCTCAGTAACCGGCTATCCTTGTTTTTCTGTGAAAATGTATCAAAATTATTCAAAGTTTTTTCTACTTGTCTGTTGGCTGGTAGGGCGACCATACGTAACAGAAGACAATTCGTAAGAGGGCCTGGGCAATTAGCAAAGCACTTGCTCCGCTTGGCTTATACATTCGACACGAGTAGTGGTATATTGCCGCGCGTGTATCCGTGTTTTGCGCCTAATCTATCGTTGCGAATTGTGGCCTGTTACGAGTTTCACTTTCTCCGAATTTTGGCTTTGACTTGTGTTATGACTAATTGTGGCTGTAGACTGTTTGCTATAATTGAAGTGTTCAGACAAGCAGATGGAACAGCTGGTGTCTCTTGGAGATGTGCTGAAGGGGGCGAATGACGAGTGCAGTGTGACAGTGTCACTCACAGCCCACGTGAAGGAGACAGGCCAACTCATAGACCAGAAACTAGTGCTCCCCATACAACTCCCACCCATACACATCACTGTAAACATCTCCACAAATTACTACTCTTCACTTTTCTATCCCCCATTTGCTGTGCTGTGCCATCAACACTTTATTTGTAGTGGCACGCAACATTAAATTTGGCCAGGTAACTCAAGTTGCAGTCAACCACAAAAGCTATTGGAAGGCCGACTGCCTAATTTGTGGTACTGGAGGTAATAGTTAAGAAGAGCCCCTGTTTTATTCTATGATCTGACGGATATCACTTGACATTCTAGCTTTAAGGTTTCAAATCATTTAGCTGCCTTATATAGATTCAATATTTAGACATTAAATTAGTTTTATTAGTTACATTTGGATGATGATGATGATGATGATGATTTGTATGTTCGGTTCTAGTCGGCTTCTGCCGTGGTGGCCAAGGGGGACACAGTGTACGTGGACCTGCAGGTACCCAACCCCTTCTCCGCATCCCCCCTCTCCTCCGCCCTGTTCGAAATATCCGGACCAGGACTGGCTAAACCCACCAAACTACACATAGGGTCAGTACAAGCCAAGCCAGACTAACCGGCTACTCTCACATCTCAAGGCCAAATTAAGCATTTTCTAAAAGAGCCGCGCGTGTGGAGTGAGTCTGGAATCGAAAGCAGATTTCTCCTAAACAAACCAATTTTGAGGATTTGATTCGTTATTTTTGCTGAAACATTTTTCCATTCATTTTTGAAACTATCTCTTGAAGTTGTTTTTGCTTTCAAGTGAAAATCAATACCACCAGCAGATTTTTGGAGGGGGGGGGGGATGCGGACGCCCCCCTCCCTTAGGGATTCATTCGGCCCCCTGCCGAGCCAAAAGGTCCCGCCTTTGTACTATTTTGAGTTATCCATTTTTGGCTGACCGACCCTAAAGTTTTTCTAAAGGCGCTAAAAGCACTAATTTTGAGGGAGGAGGGCGCCGAAAAAACGCTGTTTTTCGGTTTAAAAAAAGTGCCTAAAACGCCTTTTTTTAAGCTTTTTTTTCAAAATTAGCCTGCGGCGCAGAAAATGTGGTCAAAATAGGTAGAAATCAAAAAATCAAATTAGTCGACCTAAAAAAAGGTCGACAAAATTTGAAAAGCCGCCCTCTCTCGAGAAAAACCTAGATTCGCCCATCCTAGGTCAATGCTATAAAAATTTTGCAGAGAACAAGCTAGATTTAGTGTTATGGCCTTCTTTTTTTGTCGACGACTTCTTCTTTGTGATTTTGTTTGTTTAATGACTTATTTCACTGGAAAACAATTTTATAAATTATTTTTCAGTCTAAATAAGGCATTGTAATGTTTTCAGAACTGTGGCCCCAAATGGAATCGCAGGCACTTCCACCAGCTTCGTGCCCTTCAAAGTGGGCAAGAAAAGAGTGCTGTACGCCACCTTCTCCTGCAAACAGTTCCAGGGATCCAGGGGCACTCTGGACTTCCAAGTGACGGACAGAAGGAACTTGGCTGAAAACTAATGGTCTTTAAATGAACATGCCTGAATTTTTCAGATGGACCAGAAACTGCACGTCCGAATAAATTTTAGGTCAAATAATCAAAATCGAAAGTTGTCTAAAAGAAATGCTTCAAAATCGAATGGGCTATATGTTACAATAAGCGGTACTGTCTTTTGAAGTTCTTTGTGTTACATCACCAAAAAGTGCATCAAATCAAAAACAGGATATACTTTTTTCATCTTGTAAAATTTATTTTCAGAGCCAAATAACAAATCAATTGTAATCGTTTCTAGTTCTAAGTTAAAAGCGACTACTATGACTAGCAATTTAACAATTTTTTTACCAATCTAGCGAGTACCAATTATTGTATCAATTCGCCGAATTGTTCTATAGTTTTTGTAACATCTATCATTGTTTCTAAATTGAATGTCATATATCGTTGCTGTTTGTATAAATATTCTCATCAAATCTTGTTGCCACAAAGAAAAAGTTGACGCGACAGAACATATCAAAAATTATTATTTCAATTAATATTGTTTGCAGGCTTAAAATCAGACAAAAGACAAAAACTTTTTTGCACAAACTATAACCCAAGCTCCAGCCTAAGAGATTTTCATTTGACCCAATGGTCAATCCTCAAACGTTTTTGAGCGGTAACTTTGTTGAGGCAGGTGTTTGAGGCATTAATTATTGTGTCTTTAAAGTCAATTCGACATTGGATTGGGGCATTGAACATTTTTAAAATTGCATAAAAATTGATTTTTTTTGTGTTTTCATGGGCACTTGTACTCACTGTCGAGCTGTTGGTTTTTTATTACTGACTTTTATAAAAAGGGTATAAGACTTTTAGGTATACATTTTTTTCTAAATATTTCAACAGAGGTTTCAGTTTTAACTATTTTTGAAGCGAATACGTTTTACAAGTTCGTGGAGATGTAAATCAATATCACTGTAGAGATGATAATAATCAGTCAAATGGTTAAAAGTCGCAAGTTTTTTTCTGTAACACATGGTTTGGTAGCAGCCTTTCAAAAGTCTGATCGAGATGTTTGGTTCTTGCAATTTTGGTTGAAATTTAATACGCTTATTTGTATAACAGGATGAACTCATTGTTGAATAACTAGTATAATTTGCAATTTTGGGCTCTTTTTCCTCCCCCCCCCCCCCACCACCTCACACAAGCATCAATTATATGGTCTAAGGGGTGGTTTTACAATGTTGATCATGATGATTAAATATGTTTGCCATGGTCTCATTAGTCTGCATGTCGATTTTTATGACAATTGGACAATGTGAACAGTAATTTGAGCTATAAAAATTTGCAGGTGGGGGGGGGGGGGAAGGAAAAAGAGCCTAATTTTGTTACGGTATTTTTAAACTAATAGTTTGTGCCGCTTTTAGTTATTTTTTCTCAAAAGTTTTTATGTGAACTGTTGGGCTTTTTCCTAGTCCCCCCACCTCAAATGAGCATCAATTTTATGGAGTAATGAGTGGTTTTACGAGGTTGATTATGAAGCCCAAATATGTTTATTATGGCCTAATTAGTCCGCATGTCATTTTTCAAAACAATCGGTTGTTGAGAACATTAATTTTACTCTTCAAATTTGCAGTTGGGGGAAAAAGGAAAAAGAGCCAACTGTTGAAATTCAGATTAAGGTCAAAGGTTATTTAACTGATTCTCGTTTGCAATTCCCGCTTGTTTCATCCAAAATTTTTATTTTATTTTGCATCTGCTTTTATAATTGTCCTCGTTTTCGTGTTGTCAGTTTTTAGATTTAGCATTTGTGCTTTTGGCCTTTCAAAAAATCTGAAGTGTTACTAGCTTTTGGTGGCCTTTTGTAATGACAAATTTGGTTTTCTGAGCACCGATGGCGAAAAAAACAAGCCCAAGTGTTTTGTTACGGATGATTTTGGAAGCTTTAGCTAACTAGTTTTGTATGTGACTTAAGTTTTAGCAATCAGTATTTTCTATCTTGTTAATCAGAGTTTAGTTTATCTCGTGACTAATTTTCTCCAGACAGTCAAATATCTGTAGACTTAACTTCCCCAGACAATAAATTAAATGGCAGAAGAAGTGTTCGGGATTTGCCCTGATATGCGAGCAGCTGTGTTACATCTTAAAGCAATTTCAGATCTTGTTGTTCCGACCATTAAAAATGGGGAGGAACTTTGTATTCGGGTGACTTTTAGTTTTTTCTTTTTTCTTTTTCACGCAAAATCAGGTACCACAAATAATCATTGGATTAGATTTAGTGATATTTCATATGAAAGCCCTTACAGTCGTGATTCAAACCACATTAAAACATTTTAAAAAAAGTTCCCAATGTCGAAAAAAAAAACAGGTTTGAAACTTTTGATTTTTCGTCATATTTCGAGCAATCAAAGCGATTAAGCAGTCGTACTTTAATTGCTTAAAAATTTGCAATAGCTTAATTTGAACAAAAATTTTTTGTTTTACTTGAGTAACGTTAGTTTATTTTGAGTATCTTAGCGTCTTTTTGGAATCAAAGTTTTCAAATCTTCAAAAAACTGCAAAATTTGAAAAAATAGTTTTCGTTTTTTTTTTTGTTTTTCAAGTACCATTTAAAAAAAAAAACGTTTTTCAATTTGTTTTTTTTTTTCCTATGACTGTGGAATATACCCATTCCAATTTTTTTTGTTCAACTCTTTATATCACACTACGCCGAAAAAAACGACATTATTTTGAAAAACCTCTGTTGTTTTCTTAGGACTATAGTCGGAGCATTCTGTGCAGCTCGCACAGTAACCGCTATGCTAGTTTTGAATTTTTTTTTGCTATTTTTCTGTCCAAACTGTCTGTTTGAAATTGTTTGTTAAACGAATAAGACAAAACAAAAGCTTGTACCTCGCAAATGGTTAATGTAACAAATTTGTTTTATACAACACAACGTACAGTATTTCAGAGTTGAAAAAAGTATGATAGGGTTGAAACTTCCTTCCAGACTTTTAACAGTTAAGAAAAGATTTAAAGATGATCCATAGATACTTTACTGCTCAAAGGCCTCATTGAAAAACCGACCGAAGATTAAATGAGTGCGAAATATTGCTGTTTCCTTACCTTTCTTGAATTTTCTCATAAACTTTTTTTGTGTACATTTTACAAAAATAGAAAATGTACAGAAAAAAATACAAGAAATCTAAGTTTAAAAAAAACTTTTTTTTTGGTTGAGAAATGTGTAAAAAAACACATTAAGACGCATTTTAAACAATTAAAATTGTGCTTTGCATATTAAAAAAAAATATAACAATCAATCTCGTAATTTTGATGATAATAAAACTACTAAAAACAGCCGGACTAATTTTTTTGCTTCGTACCGAGAAAAATTTTTCGCAGCTAAATGGACTGAGGAAGATTTTTCACTTACTGGAATGGTTATTTGTTCCATTTTCTCTACCGATCCTTAATGGGGACCTAAATCGGGGGAGGCTATCCACGAGCCGCCAAAATACCTTAAACTTGGCTCCCTCGTTTCGAAAGACCGTGAAATTAGTATCTTCACCTTTCTCTGCAGTTACCGATGGCGTTGAGCAGATCCTTGAAATTTAGCGCCAAGAATTTGAGGGCCTTTTCAAAAAGAGTTACTAAATAGAGCCGCAAAAAATTGTTTCACTGGCGAACTTTTTTTTTGGGATACCTCTATTGCTGTTATGGAATCCGGTAAAAATTATCAAAAATAGTTTGTAAGCTTTCCTAGTCTTTGTGAACTTTCGACTATAATTAATGTGACATGGTGAGAGCTTAACTTTCCATTAATTCAGACCGGCTCGAATCATGTTTTTTTTCTTTCAAAATTGTTTCCTTCATATTTCATTCTTCTGTTTTGGGGGTTAGAGACAAATTTATTTTTGATCTTTCGAACAATCCTACAACCAATATACAGATGCAATAAAGTAAGTAACACAAATGTTATAAATCATGCTACATATATATTTTTTTATAATTCAACAATGTTCTGTTTCAGTTGGAGAACATCTAGCTGGCTATAGTTTTGAATGCGTCTTTTTTCGCTTCTGATGGTATATGATAGGTGAATCGCAACCACTGCTTTCAAGTTAGATGGACCAACGTAGAAGTGTCTTTTTCCTCCCGGGCTTCTGACAGAATAAAATGGTTGCATAAAAATAGTTTCTGAACAGTTTTGGAGTTGCCCGCTAATCTTTCGTCTAGATCGTACTGCGGTTTTTTGCTGCTTTATGCATGGATTTGGCGCTACTAACTCATTATAATTTGCTGAAACTGAAATGCTTCCTGTCGTAATAAGGGCCCCTTCCCAGTCACTTTCATTTACGATTGCAACTATAAAATTATCTTTAATTGTTTTGAAGTGACCAAAAGAACGAATTGTTAAGCAATCGTGCAAAAGGAATCGCTTTGAATCGAATGATCACAGAGCAATTTTATTGACCGCGACTGTTCGAATTTTGTATTTTTTTTATTAAATACCGACAGATTTCAGTCAAAAAGTCTAATTTTTGGACAGAGCGTCTTTGATTTTTTGCGAACCAAATGTTTTTGTTCATCTCGACTGATTCGTTTTGCACTAAGTTTCTGCCTCAGTTCTAAACACAACGAGATATGATTATAAATCATGAAAATTTTATGTTCTTCCCTGTCATTCTTTTATTAGAATCCTTTTAATACCTGAAACTAGCCAATGTATAGGTTTTTTTGTTACTTAAACAAGCAGTGAAGACCAACTTGATGAAGACTGTAACATTTTTGTTTCAGTACTACAAATTCTGCGGCCACTCTTTTCCACCCAGTTCTTGTTTAAAGCGCAACAGAACTGCAGCATTATCCTCGTTGTAGATTAGATTTTTTGGGCTGTTTAAAAACTGGAACCTTTTTTCCAGTTTTTGAGATCGTCATACACATCCCAATTTTTAATGCTGTATATAAAAAAATCTAAAACAAAGTAGAGCAGCTAAAGGTTTAGGTTGGGTTTCAGTTTTTTGTAACAAAATTCAGACATCATGAATCTTTGTGTGAGATCCAAAATGACTGCATTAACGGCTGCCAGTTTATCGCAATGTAGTACGGTAGTGTTGCAAGTGACAGTAGCAAGACTTTTGTCAGTTATCTAGAACGTTTTCATTGAACTTTTGCCCAAATTTTGCATTAGAATGTTTTCATTTGGAACAATGCTTAGTTTCTTTCTTTTACGCTTCGACTCCATCGTTTTACCAAATGCAGAA